AGTTCTGTGCCTGGGCTGACAGGCAAGCAGGCTTTCCTCCCAAGTGGCTTGCACAAGGGCAAGGGGACCTGCGGCCGGACGAGCAGGGCGCCCCGTCCCGCTGCTCCTGCGGGAGCCCCTTTGCCTGCTGCAGAGGAGGATGTTTACAGAGAGCAGGGCAGGACCAAGGAAAACTCACTGCCAACACACAGAGCCCCACCTGATCCTAGAGCTGCCCTTTAGCCGTAGTTTGAGGCCATGCGGTCAGGAGAATGACTGGGATGTCCCATCCCAGGACGCCCAGTGAGACTGCGCTGCCTTCTGAACAAGTCTTGCACTAAGCATCTGCAGGGATTAATGAAGATCTAGGTCATACGTGTCACTAGGTAGCCTGATGATTCTGTGTTGAATTAAGCATAATGCAATGGAGGTGCAAAAATCTTCCTCCTGTCACCTATTGACAGGAAGCCTCAGTGCAAATCATCAACAGTAGAACTGCACATTACAGCAAGCCTGTCCACAGCAAGCCCCAATAGCTCTTTAAATGCTGTCAAGGGGCAATAAAAAGAACCCAGAAGCTCCAGCTTAGAGTCCTCCTAAGTCTAATGCCAGCAGCAGGAACTAAGGGAAGACAAGTCATGTCCCACCTTCCCTCAGCTGGGCGCCCAGCTGCAGCCAGACACACCTGCAGGCACAAAGAAGGCCCCTAGAGCCACCCAGGTCTCTCCTCCTGCCTTTCAGCAGAGCAGGAGCTGAATTGCAGCTGGTAACCTCCTGCCTCCCATGTCCTTCACCTCCCGCCCTTGGCCTGGTCACCTGGGTGGGTTTTTTTATTCTTGAAACCTCAGAAATAAAAATATTGGTGTGTCTTGAGCACTTCTCTTTACTATAAAAGGGGCTTATAATTTCCAAAAAGCTGCTTTCTTTCACTTGACAGTGAAAGAAGACTGATTGCTTTATAAATTTAGTTAATTAGATCACACAGGCAAACATAATGCAAGAAAAGGCGAGGGTATCAACCCCCTTTATGCAGCTTTAATTTGCTTGCTGCGTGCCTGGTGGAGGTCGTTGTCATTTATTACCTTTACACACCACTTGACAAATGCTCTCCTGCTCCCTGGAAGCTGCTCCAAGGGATGGCAGGGAACCACACTAAGTCCAGACGAAGTCAAGAAGCCTCCTAGATCTTAATTATAAAACCATAAAACAAACCAACTGCTTTTGAAGCTTCTTACCTGGAAACAAATGAGAATGTAGAATTTATTTCCAACCATAAATTCCAAACCCTTCAGTTTAATTTTTCCCGTGTTAACTTTCCCACCTAGCTAAGCAGCCCTGGCTTCTATTATTAGCTCCTGGCCCAGTATCAGCTGACCAGCATCAGTCAAACTGTCTTCATCTCAATGAGCTCAGGGACTCCCAGCGAACTCCGTGCACGCAGACTTGTGCTTGCAGCCTCTAATTATTTCCTAACAGATAATGGAGCATTTAAGTTCAGAGAGGATAGATTTAACTTGTAAGTGGATCAAAAGCCTGGATAAAAATCACAGCTTCTTGGATTACTTCTCGGAAACACCAAGCTTACGGGTAGAGAGAGGGACCTCAGCAATTGCCTGTTTCCCCATGACGAGTTTGCTTTAAGATTTTTATTTTTTAGATTCCCATGTTTCCCAACTGTGCCATGACTTGGGAATGTATTACACTGTAAGCAGAGCATCTGGTTGGATGTCAAACCGTCTGATCAGACCAAAGGCTACTTGGACTTATCAGGCAATCACAACACAGTCAAATAATTTGAGACTGATGAGGGAAACCCCTTTTTGCAACTTAAATTGCAAATCCCTGTTCTAGTGTGACACATTTGCCTTGTCTTCTCGGAAGGCCGAGACCCTCGGGACCCTCGTATTTTCTTGGTGTTGCCAGCCCTCAGGTGATGCACGGGGTATGGGACTTCTGCAGTGATAAATGCTACGTAAGAGAGCGGGGAGCAGAGCAAAATAAAGAGAGCTAGCTTTTTGTGTGGAAAAAGCAGGGAAAACAGACTCTGGTGCAATACCCAGAAGAAAAATTCCATGTAGGGAATGTACTTTTTGGTGACAGCCAATTCATCATCCCCTGATGGGAGGTGTTTGGCCATAGCGGGCGCTAACATCATGCACTGTATCATTAGAGTCATTAAAGATCCATTAGTGGGTGCTCAGAGTGCTGCAATGACAGCCCAGGAGCCAAACTCTCATTCTTCACTCTTTTAGCCCAAGATGGAGCCAAACGTCAGCAGCTCGCAGGGCACCTTTGCCCTTGCACCCTGCCAGCAGCAGCAGTTGCAACGAGAGCCTCCAGGCTGTGCCACTGCCGTCTCCAGCAGCTCTTTCTGCCGGCAAGTTTTATTGCAAGTACAAGGACACAGACCACTGAGTGAGAAGTAACTGCTGACCAGAGCACATCTGTACTGCACAAGTTTGAAAAACATGAAAGCCAAGGGTTTGAGCCACCATCACAGCACCTCCTTCCCACTGACAACCAGCATACGGGACACTTGGACAGGATTTGTCTCATAAAAACTCATACATTTTCCTAATAATATCACTTAATAATATAAAGTTTTATCAACACAGCTATACTGGCCCAAAGCTCAGGGAGGAGGAGTAATAACACGTCTTCCCACTACAACTTCCTGCAGAGCAATGAAAGACATTGAACTACCTCATCTCCTCCCAATAACTTTTCAGGTTAAAACTACGGCCTTTCTGCAAAAGGCAGGACTAGCCACATTAAAATCATAAACAGTATCTCAGTCCTTCTATTATATAAAAAGTATCTCTTTAAGAAACTTATTTCAGAAAATAGATTACTTGGTTAGGAAGTGAGATGGCAGGAATTTCTACACAATCACACGAGCAATTATTCAAAAGAACGAAATTAAATCTGCTTCCTAATCAAGCCTACACAGAAAAGGCTGTTACAGACTACTGTATTTACATCAAATGCAGTGCTAATACAAAATGCCTTCGTACTTTTCATTGTGACTGATTCCAACTGATGGCAAGGTCCAATTTTTATTATTCCAAAATATTTTAGTATTCCAAAACTAAACGTTATTTTTTGCTGAACTTCTGACCACTGGGTCAGAAGCCCATGGAGGACTGTTAAACACAGAGCCTCTCCTAATGTAGCTGAACCTCACAGTTACGATCTCTCGTTTCCAAAAACCTCCCTAATTTCTGAGCTATTTATCAGATGTTATGATGTATACACCAGAGGCAAATGTTGTCCACTGAATGAGGGCAAGCAACTCTGCCTTTTAACAGACTCTATGTTTTATTTGTACAGCACTTCAAGGTTATTCAACACCAAGAAAGGAGATAATACCATTATTTTTCTATTTCACAAATACATAAGATCTGATCCTGCTACAAGCTGAATTATTGCATTGACTTAAATAGAGTACAACCAATTTGCTCTGTTGGAGGACAGAATCCAGAGTGCTGAATGCTAACAGCAGACTCGAGTACAGGGGACTCCCACTCCCAGCACACTTGCTTCAGAAAAATGATGAAAACCAGATCTTTTCTTTCTGGAGATCTACCATTAGCAGCACTCTTGATCATTATTTTGTCCATTAAGCAAACATCTCATCCTCCTTATCCTTTTAGCACCATTCATTCCTTCCGAGTGGAGCTGAAATGCTTTTCTTTTTTGTTATTTTTGTGCACAATGATCACTGATGTCATCGGCATAAATGTGCAGTGCTCTGTGCAGAGCACAGAACATACATTGATCTATACAGTTTTATTTCAATTGCTTGAGAATTCACACACAATAATTTGACTGAAATATCTAAAAGGGTAATTGCATAGATCTACTCATTTCTAGACGACAGCGTAGACAATATAATGGGAGTAAAATCCCCTTTTGGTTTATAGTCTTATTAGTGCTAATTAAACTTACATGCTGAATAGATCTTCAAGATGTAAAAGCACTGTAATTTTAAAGTTCACATGAGGAATCTAATAATTTAGGACTTAGAAAAAGTGGAAATTCCTATGACTTGTCAAAAACTGCCACTGCACATGACTTGCATGTTCACCATCCCGGTGAGGCTCCAACTGGGCACAGAACTGAACTCTGAGTGCATGATCTCTGAGAACACAGAACACCTGCAAAAACTAGGATCTTTGCTTCTTACTAACAATATCCTAGATAAGGAAAGTAAATGGGCTTTTAAAACCCACTGTATTTTCATAAATCTTTTCCTCCCTTGTGTGCTTTGCTGCTGCAGACAACTCCCAGATTCTCACTGCTTTGTTCTGAAGGAGATTAAAGTAGGACAGAGCTGAAACTGAACTGCTGAAACTGGGAGCTCTAGGCCAGCGAAGACCCACGTCCACGGCGCGGTGCTCCACCATGACAACTCTTACTCACTTCTCTGCCATGGAAAAATCAAGTATGCAGGACAGAAGAGATTCTGCTTTCTGCTGGTAGGATGCCCATCCATAAGAAACCTCCAGGCATTTTAAGGTTCATGGTATCAGCATAGCGAAAAAGCCAGCCCTTCAGTAACACAGTACTCCATGTACTTACTGACAGTTGTGGAGAAGAAATATCTACAAACAGTGAACTACACTGGGCAGAGTACTGCATCATGGAGATAGGCCTAACTGTATAGTTTCAGTGAAGCAGAACTCATCTATCCTCAGCCAAGGCTGCAATTTATTTATTTTATTTTTAAACACTGCTGCAACAGAGAAGGCTATACATCCATGTCATGCATGGACAGCTCATGGAGAACTAAGGGCAAGAGGCAGATGGCTCCTACAAAAAAAATCTGAACTAAGTTTTTCTAGGGCATGGTACTGTAGTGCTGAATATCAGGACAATGCTGGTCCTGTTCACAAACATTCCTCTATTATTTAAATGTAAGGAAACAAAAAAAAAATCCAAGCAGAAATTTATTTTTACAATCTCTGTGTTCTACAGAGAGGTCCCCCGCTAAGACTAACTGAAGCTGATCATCTACTTACATCCATAAATTCCACGTTGGCTTTGGGACCGGTGGTCTCATTCAGGATCTTTATGGCCACAGGAATCTTTACAGTTTCTCCCTCAGGGACCCAAATACCCTAGAATGACAAGGAAAAATGGCATAAGACCAAAAAGACAACAATGATAACATCTTCATTCAGAGACTCACTTCTTTTTATTGCATTTTGTTATGGACTGTGCAGGGTTTTGTTATGGACTGTAGAACCTCTTAAGTCAAAACACAGAGTTATAAAATAAAAATATCCACAAAACTAGTTTTACACCAGAGCAAAACACTTGCACAGTGTGAAAGATTTATTATTACACCTGCTTCGTTTTCCTAGTCGCAATCACAGTTTGCCTATGTACAGTAATATACCTAACTTTTATGCTGTTCATTGTTTCCTATAAAATTAAACAAAAATCTGGATTTTCTGTAGTATTCTTATGCTAAACCCACTGCAGCTATCACTTAACTCCAGCTCTTGAGTATCAGCACCAGGTAGGTTATACTATAATGCAGAAATATGACACCTCGAGAATAATCTATTTTGAGTAAAGCACTTGGGGACTGTTTCTCTAACCAAACCTTTAAAGCTAAGATGCCTAAAAAATAAACATTACTATTGAAATTCACAAGCTATGCATCTCTTGGGCTGCCTTTCCACCCGTCCTATCTATTGCTGCTTTCCTGACAACCACATGCTACCCATATCACCTCATTATGTGCTTTCCAGTTGCTTATTTCAAAATGGATTCCCATGGCCTTATAGTGCTGGGCCCTAGTCTGCACTTCCTCCATTTTTCCCCCAGTTTGCAAACAAACCCATATCAATGCTATTGCCTTTTCTCCAGGTGGCTTGGTGGCTGTTTGACCTGTTCCTGAAGAACTACTGCATGCCATGGAGATCTGGATGTGGCAAGATCCAGGATTTCTTTTACCAATGGGGATTTTCTTGGGCAGGTTCTGCTCTCAGAACCTGTTAAAAGTGAATTAACAGAACTAACCACACCAAGGAGCAATGTCTTTATGTCCGATTAAAGCTGAAATCAAGAGCTTAGCCTGAAGATGTGCTTCTACCCCACAACCCGAGTGCTACGAGCTGCTCAGCTGCAATGCAAAACCCCACTGTTGAAGCATCAACGAGGCTGCCCGGCGCTGTGCAGAGCAAAGACACACACATACCTTGTACACCGTTCCAAAGGCTCCCGAGCCAAGAACCTTAACGCGTTTTAGCTCTGTTTCCTTCAAGATACGAAGCTGTGCCTGGTTCGGTGCCGTGCCACTGGGGGTCAAGGGTTCCACGAGCTGCCAAGGCAAATCCAACAGTGTTAAATATCTGAAAATGTGACGACAACAGGTTCTGGACCTGAAAAGGTCCAGAAAGATCCAATTCAACACTGGAAAAACACAATGAGATCTACTGATCTGCCAGCCTGGGGGAGATCTCCCACCTTTAAAGTACATCAGCAATGCTAAGCACAAACCAGGAAACCTCATGGAGAAAACCCTCACTCAGTATGCACTAACTTCCACTGGGAATTGTGGGATGGAATCACAAACTTGGAATTGAACCCGTGCCACAATGACACACCCAAGGATTTTTGCTAATGGAGGCAGTACAAACATTTTCAGGGCAGAAATACAGCATTTATTGCCAGTGCAACAACTTCTATTTTTGCCTCTTTCAGTGCCTTTCAAGTCAGTCATATTTTCTTTTAATAATCTTGACTTAATGGCTCATCCTGTTTTTATTCTGTTTTGGGGAAGGGACTGCTCTTCTGAACTTCGTCTACACCACCTTGAAGGACAATTTGAAAGACAGAATTTTTTAACAGTGTACCTAGAATTTATTTATTTACTGTAAAAAGGCACAATTAAACATCTGCCCAAGACAAAAAGCATGTCTGAAGAAACCTGATGAATGAAACACCACACCACCTTCAGTTAAAATGTTCTCTGATCTCAACATGGTACTACCTCTGCCAGAAAAACAATGCTGCTTTAAAACCAAAGTAAAACACTGAAAAAAACGCCTGTTGTTTTTGCATGTTGACAAAGATAACTCAGTGCTACTCCTAGTCAAACTGTTTCGAACCCACTCCAGGATTTCCACACTGTCTGTGTACCAGGCTAACCGCCCTGCGGTTTGTGCACTGCTACTAGGGCTCTGTTGGCATCTTGGATGTTTGATTAGCTGACCCGACTGCTTTGGTTCAGGTAGAAGTATCACTAGCTGGAAATGACCAGAGGAAGGGAAAAAAAAAAAAAGTAACAAAAACAAGCAGTAACACGCCAGGGAATCACAGAAATAATTTGTGAGGTGAAATAGAGGCATTCCTCTTTTCTCCTTCCCATTTAGATGCTTAGGTGGTGAAAGAAGGGAGGTTTGCTGTAAGAGAAAAATGGTCAGGGGGCAGTAAACCTCTGTATGTCCAGTTTGCAGAGGATGAAAACAGCTTCTCTGTCGCAATCTGCCAACACAGCCATGGCAGGGAGGGAAGTGCTGTGGGGATAACCAAATGCTTGTAGAGTTTTATTGAGAAGGATCCACAGAAAGAACAGGTCTGCTACAGCCTTCAGCCAGAAATAAAGTCTTTAGCTGACGCCGCAGCAGTTGGTTTGTTTAGCTGAGGATGCTACCGACTCAATTCTCAGTTTCTAAGCCCAGCTAACAGCTTTCCCACATGTTCAGGAGGAGACTGTCCTCCCTGAGGAGCTGCTGTCAGCCAGAGCTTGTGGCAGACCAAATGCAGAATGAGACCCGGGACTCCAAGCCAGTATCTTCCAACTGCAATGAAAAACCCTTGCATAAAATCACTTAGTTTTAAGTAGGGGCTCACATGATGGCGAGATTTATGTATCTAAAAGCACAGGGTATTTCTTATGTTTTCTAAACAACCAAACAGTATTTAAAAAGCAACACAAAATCCAGCCAAATAGGAAGATATCTAAGGAAACAGACAGGGGATTCATAAATCATTTGCTCCTAGGCTATGCAGTGGAGACAAATGGGAGCAGGACCCTTAGAACAAAACAGAACAGAAAACACTGTTAATAATAAAGCTCTATCAAAGACTCGCTAGCTAACCGTGCTAGCTATTCCCGAGCTTTTTTTAAGTAGAGGGACCCTAGTTTCGCAGTATCATCACCTTTAAAGTACCTCTGATCTTTAAGGCTTAGGAGATCTAGTAAGCACCTTTACAAGAGCTGAAAGATAAGATTTCACACAGGTTTTAATACACTTTCTAGAGCGCACTCTCCACTCCTGGCAAATCCAAGAGCTGATACAGACCGTGCCCTATGGCTCCATTACGTCCTCCCTGCTGGCACAGCCATGGAGCTCATCTTGCAATCCCCTGTGAAGCCCATCTTGTTTTGTTCAACACGTTGGATTTATTACCAAACAACTCGACAGAGTACGGACCATAAAGGTGATACAGGCACTGCAGCCAACAGCAAGTTCTTGAGATACTGCACAGGCTTCACTGGTAACCAGACTGGTCCTGAGTATCCTTGGTATAAAACCAGATGAGCTCTGTGCATGTTCCCAAAGGAAGCTACCCTGGGAGAAAGGACAAGGCCTCACCTCGGTCTCCAGGAACCTCCGCAAAGCCCTCTTCTTTTTAATGCTCTTGCGCCGAACGTACACAGCAAACGTCAGGCCCAGAATGACGATGATGAAGAGGCCGCCGATAACTCCTGCCGCAATCAGAGGAGTTCTAGCAATCAGAATCAGAGACTTTATTGAAAGTGGCCAAGGAATAGCTGGGCATATAAAACACAATTACTAGGAAAGCTTATGAACTGTCTTATTAACCAGAGTTTCTAAGTCAGTCCAATAGGAAGTCAGGGGAAACACATTAAGATGCAATATTGCTATTTAATTTTTATTTTTTTTAAATCAATGTATCAGTTTTACTGTTTTTCAAACCACCATGCACATGGGAGGAGTTGTGTGGACAAGGTGACACAACATGCACTTTAATGGCAAACGCAAATCTGCAATGGCAAAATGGGGCTAGAGGCACCTGCAGCTTCTTGTGCAAACACTTCGACTACATTTACTCCTTCTTTAGCTCCAAGTGGATTAACTCACAGGTTCGTGCCTTTTGGGGACGGAAAAAAAGCACACACACAACAACAACATTTGAACAAAGAAAGTCATTCCTACTAGCAAGCACCCTCTCAGCACTCTTGGTTTATTAGTACTATGAGTAAATATTTGGGTCAGTAGTTAATGGCTGCACCCCTCTGGCTTTGCTATTGCTTTTCAGGACAGCCAAATCCCAGCTCCAAAGGCTGCTGTGCTGGACGGAGCCAGAAAGCTCCTGTGAAGAATGCCAAGCTTGGCTCCGCTTTTGCACAAGACCGTTTGTCCCTCTGCTACGTCTCTAATTCCCTTAGCTTTCCAGGATCTCGAGCAGCACCATCTGCGATTATTAATTTGCTTTTGCAGACTGCCAAGGCAGAGCAGGCTGGCATTAGGCAGGTACTGCATGGGCACGAATTGGGCAGCAGTTGCAGAGCTTCACCTGGTCTGGCTCAGTGCCCGTGGTCGCGGAGTCCTCACACATCAGGGAGAGGAGGAGGCTCCTGCCCAAGGCAAAGGCAAAGCAGGAGGTGCTCTGACCCAGCTGACAGCCAGGCAGCATCAACAGCCAGGCATGGTGTTCCATTACTCTGGCATTTGGAGGGCAGAATTCATGTTAAAGGGCCTGATACGTCCACCCCAAACTCCGGTCCTCTTCATCTGACATAGGATTTCCAAGATGCTGACATGGGAAACTGTTTCATGGGCAACACTGATAAGACCTGGGCATCAAAAACTTTAGGAAGCTAGTCCTGACTGACGTTCTTTAACAGAACGATGCATTTTCTTTATGTTACCTGAAAAATCATATTTCTAACAAATACCACGGAACTATAGACTGACAGAACACGAAAGAGACCTCCAGGCTTTGAAGTGCTTATTAATAGCTATCATAACAGCTGTCAAAATAAATAATTACAGTTTTATGGTACCATGTACACTGAAAACATTTACACGATAGACCATTAGGAGTAAACGGTTCCAAAGGAGACATAAGGGCTAGTCAAGGAAATAAAATGATGTTCTAAATTGCTTGCATCCTTTTATTGTTAAAAGTATGAAGGTTCAAATTAATGTTTATGATGCACCATGCCAACTCTCTCCAACTTTAAAAAGAAATTCTAATTATTTTTAGTGATTTGAAACGATTTTAAAAAAACTAATAAATCACCAAACAAGAACTTTTGACTATAGTCATTAATGTCAAACATTTTAAAGAGTTGAAATTCATCTACTTGCTCGAGCCCGTCTGATCTTTAAAAGCCCCATAAAGGAGGTTAATTATTCTGAAGTGCAACCCTTAGCTAGTCAAATATTTGTAAGCAACTCAAGGGTCCAGTGTTCTGTCTATTTTACCTGCAACTCCAGGATCTGCATATAAACAGATCATTAAGCTATAGAAAGGCGCATAAGAAGAATAGAGAATGCCCAAACAACCCCCATAATTAAGCCCTAAGCAAAACTAAAATGCAGAGAAGGTTCTATTTTGCACACAAGCAGTGAACTGCTGCCGTCGCTCCCTGCACAGAAAGCCCAAGGCACACAACCATCATGGACTGGAACGGGTGCAATTCCCTGCTGCGCAGCCCCTGCTCACCCTGCTAAGCCCCGGAGTCGCCCGGCACTCGGCCCGGCAGCGGAGCACATGCCGAGTCCTTGGCCTCTCTGCCGGCTGCTGCCATGGAGTCACTTCAGCACCGCGTCCGAGTGCTGCTTCCAGCCACGCGTCCATTATTTTCCAAGCACTTATGTTTTGTCTGTGCTTACCTGCTTGGGGTTTTTGCTTACAGTTATTAGCCTGAGCTTGTTTTCTACATACTCCAATAACCTCTTCAAGTCTCCTGTACTATTTCATTACAATCTTCGTGTTTGCTATAATTCATATGTAATACCCTTGTGAATTCCATTAACAGGCTGTTTACCTTTCTTTTGTATTATTATTAAGGTTGTTTAACACAGATCCCAGCAACGTGGTGGTGATCAGAGAGGTAGCCGCAGACAAAACCTTCCTCCCATTTTGCTGTTGTGTTTTAATCCAAGCTTTTCTGCCTGTGCACCAACGGTTCAGCTTGGTACACGGCTGGACACACAAACCCCTTATCTCCAGTGGCGTTAAGGGCTAAATCCATTTGCATTATTGTTGCATTATTGTCACATAGTAAGTCCTGTTTGTGAATGCAGCTAGCTGTTTTTGCCCATCTCGGGCTACTCCACTGCTACCTTAGAAGTAATCCCATGAAAACCAACAGGTGCAATGTTGATGCCAAGACAAAAATTTCCCCAACAAAGAGGATTTTTTTTTTTTTTTTTAAAAAAAAGAGGCAATGTGACCCCATTTCTCCATTAGGGCTTGGGAAGGCTCCGGCAAAGCAAAGAGTTCCAGGTCAGTCCTGAACATCCAGCATAAATATGGGCAGAACTGATTCCAGCTCCACTAGGAACCCACCCACGGGAAACCGCTCATACAGCCACTACCTTCATTTACACACTGCAAAGCTACCCCAGAGGATGAAAAACAAAATCACTACTAGGTGTTTTTTCTGGATTGTTATGCTCCTGTAAGGAGCTATCCAAGAAACATCACCCTGAATCATAGTTCCACCCCCATATAATTAATTTGCCATTGCCCACCCCTCTGGCAGCCGAGGCAGCCAAATAATGCCTGAAAAGGGTGGCAGCGGGGAAGGAGAGGGAAGAAAAAAATAAAAATCACTACCTGTGAAAACTCCTGCCTTCTAAACTGGAAACTGTGTGCATATGTGACAAAGTTGAAAGTGAGATTCTAGTATCCCCTTAGGAGAAATGAATAATATATATTTCTTTCCTAAATGTGCACGGTGTTTTCATATTTAGAAGCATCTAATCCCTGTCCCTGCACACCAAAATTGAGACAAAAAGTTCAAATTTAGCATGCCAAGGCAGACAAGGATGCTCAGGAGGGGGCTTGTATCATCATCCCATCCACGCCGAAAACTCAGAACACCTACAATTCCCTCAGTGCTCCGAGCACCAGGTATTAAAGTCTAATTACTGACTTCCATAAGCACACAGGTTTCATACTATAGACTACAGAACATGGAAGAAGGGGAGGACAGAAGGAGAGGACATAAGTTTTGGTCCTTGGAGGCAACTATGCTATAAGAGAGAATACCTGCTCTTTTGTCTCTGGTGTTAACCCACACATGCAGGTGAACTAAGCTCTGAAGCCAGGCTGTGTGTTTTGAGCAGCTTCTCTCCACTGTGTAGCCCCCCAGCAGAGCCTAGAGCTGGCTCTGCCCACGCGTTTGGGTGCTTGGGCTCCAGGCTTGCGTCTCCCTTCATGTTTGCTCTTTGCACCGGGCTCCCTTCTCTCCCTGATCTGAGGGTGTTTTTAGACTGCCACAGGTCCAGATTAGGATCGTTACTCCTGCAAGTGATGCTGGCTGATGCCCTGGTAACCACCAGCTTCTCCCTTAGACCAGAGATGGACAAACCGTGCTCAGACTTGCTGGCGATGAGCTGGAGTTAACCCAGGGGCAGGGAGTTTTAGGCACAACTTTCAGTTTCAGCCCCTGGTTAATATATTTGCCTGGGAATAAACAGCATCTCTCTGATTGCAGCATCCACATAGGGCCTTTTTCATAGGCTTCTTTCCCCATAAACATTTTGCATCCCTGACATTTTTAGGCTGAGATTTTTCTCTTCTGTCACAAACGAGAAAAGGGGGGTTGCTGTTAAGAACATGCATAGCGACTTTGCTGTGAGAATTGTGCTTTAAGTAAAAGGATTAATGTTGCCTTTAAAATATGCCTAGTCAGGCCCCATATAATGTAGATTGATTTATCTGTGACAGAAAGCCAGTTAAAACTCCCTAGATTGGACCCAAAGGTGAAGCCAGTTCATCAAATAGAACAATCCTCTTTATACACTTGCCATATTTCCCATTTACGTTGCGAGGGGTAATATTTCGCTTCAGAGACAGGCAGCTGGAAGCGGAATGGCTGCGGGTGCTGATGGACTGCTCGGAAAGCAGAGCCACCAGCGCCGGCTCGGGAAGTTCCTCCCTGCATAAGGCGCTCGCGTTAGAGGGGAGCACGGCCAGGGCCACCCGGGCAGCCTGCTCGCAGCCTGTGTCCGTGTACGGGAAGTTAAGGGCAGGAAAACTTGCTTTCCTTAAAGGGGAACGACACGACGCGCCGGGACGGGAGGTTGTGCGGCAGCGCTGCTGTCTGTTCATTAACTGGCAATACTGAGAGTAGCACGAAGCAGCAACTGACACAAAAGCTGTTTCGTGGCTCGGGGGCTGGAGAAATAACATGTAGTGTCTGTATTAAATCAGTGAGCGACCACGACTTCGGGAGCTGGGGTGCACACAAGATATAACTCCTGGCGTGCTCAAACCAAGTAAGAGCGTTAAAGTTTTTAGGGCAGATTTTTATAACATTTTCTTCATTGGAAAATGTTATAGTTTTGTTATCTATTAGTTGTTCTGGCAAAAATGCACCAACAAGTTGCCTTCACCTTCCATCCGGTACAACTTTCCAAGCAGAAGGCTCAGCTCGAGCTCAGAGGGTTCGGAAACAATTCGAAGCCGCCCTCAGCTTTGCCCCAGCCTGACAGCGACGACGAGACGATTCTGAACAGTGTTAA